ACGTACATTGACATGTTTAATACATCTTTCATCATGGAATAATTGTTTTCCAATAGAACTTCCATCGTAGCATCTCCTATGTTATTCTGAATATAATATATAAATATTTCATCATGGGCAATCTCTTCCTGAGCTATTTACTGCCTCTAAAAACCCACTTGACAGTCAGCTATGACTCTGTTCCTAGTAGACTACACACGGCACAGCAACAAATAGAAATCCAAATGGCGTTGCATCTGATGGAAGCAGAAATATGAAAACTAAATGGTGAATTTCTAAATGATGTCCAGAGCTGCCTAGCTAGATGTCTTCCTTGGCCAGTCATCCTGACCTTGCTTTATGGAGGGTCACTCACGAGTTGGTTCCAAGTTGACGGCAATGAGTGCATGAATAGTCACATTATTAACTCGTTTAATCCCAAGCCAACATGATACATTCTATTATAGACAGGGTTTATTATTATCTTCAGTCCATAGATAAAGTTGTTGTTCTGTTCCATTGAGTCAGAACTAACTCAGAGCTGACCCTACAACAGGTTTTCAGAGGCTGTAAATTACACAGGAGGAGACTGCCCATCTTTCTCCTGTGGAGCAGCTAGAGGGTCTGAACCACTGACCTTTGGGTTGGCAGCACAACTCCTTATCACTGGGCCACCAGAGCTCCCTTAGGTGAAGAGCTCAAGAAAAAAAAAAAACAGTGATTTCACAATATTCCCAATTCACACAGCTAGTACGTGCCAGAGCTGAATTCTAGCCTGAGCATCCATCAGCATGTAAAAAGGTGCAGGTTCATTTACATGTCATATTCTCAGACTATAATGGGGTTTTGCCTGGCTAACAACTCTCCACATTTCTTGCATTACCTGCCTTGTTTTGCTATGTTCTGGAATCACTAGGTCACTTTTGTCCATCCTCAAGCCCAAGATTATTTTTTCCTCCTTGACCTCCACTGTCCTGGTTTGCTACTGCAGCTATACTGCTCTCCGTATCACTCCTTCAGCACTCACATCAGATCCGACACAGAGCCTGTGTTCTACTGCTCTTCAGCTCTGGTATCTCTTGGCTACCTCTCTCACTTTCTCTGGAATGCTACCCTGGCCATATTTTTTTTAAACAAAATTTTTATTTTATACTGGTTTACTTACAAAGTTCGTATACCTTGTTTTTCACACTAGATCTTTCCTATTTCCTTTCCCATCTCATCCTCCACCCATCAAATTGTGTGTGAGAGAGCTCTGCTGGCGTAATGGGCAGAAAATTATGCTACCAAGGCAAAGGTGAACGATTTTAATATGCAGCTCTAAGGCCTGGTTTTAATTGTTTTTGGTCAAACATTCTTCTAAGTGGCATAGCACTGGTCTGTACATTTGCTGTGTAGAGGTAAGTCATGGTTGCTGTGATGCTAAACACTGTGACACTGATGTGTCAAATGTGATAATGGCTACCCATGGTGGACAGTGTTTGGTGGAGCTCCCCAGTTAACACAAGCTTGGAAGCAAGAGTGGCATCTACTTCTAAAATAGCTTGCCTCTGGAAACTCTAGGAATAAGGAGAAATGATGAAAGTTATACAAGTGTCCATGTCTTTCGTGCATAGGGTCACTGTGAGTCATCTTCGACTCAACAGCACTTAACAACAACATGATTACCCAACCCCCCTGCCGCCCATCCTCGTCCTTCTGTCCTCCACTTCCCGCCTTGGATCCTCATACACCTTCTACTATAATGGTCTTGTACAGTATTTGTCCTTGTGGGACTGAGTTATTTCACTTTGCTCCCGTGCCTCCCAAGCTAGATAGTGATTTACAAAATCATTGTTCCTGTGTGCTGTGTAGTATTCCATTGTGTGAATGTACCATAATTTCTCAATCCATTTGATTGTGTTTGGACACTTGGGCTGTTTCCATGTTCTTGTGATGGTGAATATCCTGACCATCTTATTGACGACTCCTACCTACAGAGGTCCTCATCCTACTTTCCTTTTTCTTTTCTCCTAAGTGCTGACCGCACTTTTGATATTGCTGCTTGTTTACTTCCTAGCTGCCATTGTGTTGGCCCCCAACACCTGGAGATCATGTATGATGGGATGAAGCTCACACTGCTAATGCTTCCTCGTGACTAGTTGTAGATTGGGCTTTTGGGATCTGCCAGGTTATTATTGATTGGTTTTTGAAATATAATACCCAGGTTCGTCTTCCTAGTTCACCTTGGTCTAAAAGCTTGATATAACCTCTTCCAGTATCACAGTTATGTGTAAACCTCCACTGAGAGACAAGTGGTAGGTATGTGTCAAGTTCAAAGGCCAGTAATCAAGTGCAAGTACACCTCATGGAAGGCGAGCATTCTATCACTGGACATGCTTTATTTTACTTTTTTGGTGACATTTATTATTACTTGCCAGCCTCCCCCACTGGACTGTAAGCTTCTTCAAAGGAAAGATGTTTCTTGTCTTCGTTTACTTCAATGTTCTCACGGTCACACCTGCCATGACAAATGTTATCCTCACATTTCTTGTGAAAACAACTCTCCACTTGGCCTCTGAAGACCATTTTTGGTTGAAATTCTAGAAGAACCACCTAGTAACTTTTCAACCTTACTGTCTTTCTGAGCCTCAGCTGTCTTCTCTGTAAAATGATTATAAAAATGTTTGCTTGGGCTTTAAAGAGTCAGAGATTCTTTGAACTGTCTACAAAAATGCCCTGCTGAAAATGTAATTCTGGAACCAAGGGGTGTAAAAATAATATGTGGTTCCTTGAAACTAGGTAACTTTTCCTGCTTTGTATTTTCAACATTTTTATTTCCAAGGTGTCTGTGTGATCTGAGGGTGACCTTAACAACTAGTCTACCTCTAAATGGGACTCTGGAACCAATGGAGTCTAAAATAAGCACAAGTTTCTTGTAAAATGTATTTGAGCTCTGTGTGTGAGTTTATGTGTATGTATATGTCCTTGTGTGTGTTTAGAGGGGATTATGTGCATTTTGTATTTTACATTATTGTTTTCAAGATCTCTATGTCACTCTGGAGACTAAGGTGTGCCTGATACAGGCCATAGTCTTTGAAATCACTTGCTATATGTCAGAGAGCTGGACATTGACTAGGGAGGACAGAGGAGAATTGATGCTTTTCAGCTGTAGTGCTGGAGAAGAGTATTGAATATACCAAGGACTGCTAAGAAAACAAACAGGTTCATCTTGGAGACGGTTAAACCAGGCTGCTCCTCGGAGGCAAGGATTCTGGGGCTTTGTTTGACATACTTTGGACATGTTGTAAGGAGAGACAGGTCTTTGGAGAGGGACATCATGCTTGGAAGAGTGGAGAGACAGCACAGGAGGGGAAGACCCTTGGTGAGATGGATTGATTCAGTGACTGGAGTAATGGGGACAGGTGTGTCGGAGACAAGAGATTGGCACAGAATAGGGCAGGGTTTAGGGCTGTTGTATGTAGGGTCACTATGGGTCACAGGTGACTCAGCGGCACTAACAACAACAACATGACTCGAGCATGACCCTAACAATGGCATAGCATCAATTTGCTGACATCTGTATGCTCTTAGCTATTGTTGTTGGGGGTCATTGAGTCAGCTAGGATGCACAGAGAGTCTGTGAACAACAGACGGAAATTTGCCCCACCCTGCACCGTCCTCGTGACCTCCCACGTACTCAGGATCATTGGTATAGTCACTTTGCCTTTCATCTCATCTAGCGCATTCTCCTCTTTCACTGACCTACTTCTCCCAGCATTTCCTCTTTTTTTCCAAGGACTACCACCTCCTGACAGCATGTCTAAAATACATGAGGTGAGGTTTCCCCATCCTTGCCTCTAAGGAGCATCCTCGTTGTGCTTTCTCCAAAACAGATATCTTGGCTCTTTGCCAGTCTGTGGTATATTTGGCTCTCTTCACCAGCACCACAACTCAAAGACATCAATTCTTCTTTGGTCCTCCTTATCCATTGTTCAACTCTGACGTAAATGTAGAACAACTGAAAATACCATGGCTTGGATCAGATGCACTTAGTCTTTAAACCAGTATCCTTACTTTTCTAGTACATTAAACAGGTGTCTGTAATGCAGCTTGTTTTGTGAGCGTTGTCTTAGGTCACTCTAGTCCTTTTCAGAATTGTTGATGAGTGAGCTAATGGCTCAGTGACAGGGTAGTTAGGGTCATGCCCTAAACCCTGAGTAGAGTCAGTGCATTCACCTCTGATTAAAGAGATTTAACTAGATAGATCAAACACTGTCCTGGGAAAACTTTGCAAATCCTTCTCACACTATCCATGCTGAGAAATCCCATGACAATTCTTTCTAGGCCCCAGGATTCTCCTCTTCCTCCAGGCAGAAGGTTATCCAGTATGCCTTTCCCTGACCTTCAGAGTCACGCCTACTGCCACCTTGCTCCTCCTGCATCCCAAGGCCTGGTGTAGCTGAGGTTGCTGCAGCAACAGCACACATGAAGTCACATTCCCCGGTAATGACAGCGGCCGGTGCGTGAGTCAGTTGAAAAGTTTGACCGGGTTTTTATTAGTGCATGATGCAGTCCCAGGCTGTCTACAGTTCCTGCTCTGTCGAACTCTTACTTGATGCTAATCACTTTCAAATGTTAGCTGGTCCAGGGCCTCTCCCTTGAAGCCACTGCTATTGCTGCCTCTTCCACAGCATTTCTAATACCTGCAGGAAAGGCCAAAAGCAATGGGCAGACCACACACCTTGACCTCAGTATTAACTCTTTTGTATTCCTTGTGGTTAATAAACTACAGGGACCTTGACTGATTGGGGGAAAGGGCCTTAGTTTACTCGGGGAACTGGACAATGGTCAATATCTGCCTCCTTGAAGATGTCTTTTCTGTCCATTGGCTGGAAAGAATACATGCAGAAGAATAAGGATGGAATTACAGTAATGCTCTATGAAAATTTATGAACGTGGAACTTAACCACTTAATACTGACCCAAGGTGGGCACAGAGCTCCTGGTCACAGCTAACACAGGCTTTGGTTTCTTTTTCAGACACGGAGATGACTTGATCGTGACTCCATTTGCTCAGGTAAGCACAGCTCCTGCGGATTTGAAACTTTAATGGCAGAGATTAGTTTCTGGATATGAATTTGATTTTAAATCATATTCAAGTACAAATACAAAGTCAAGTTCATTCAGATGATGCAAAGGCAGTGTTTAAGTTCACGAACTTGGCCTTATTATTCTGTTGTGATAAACTCATGAATCCAAGAGTGTCTTTTCTTTAAATAACAAATCATAAAAGTAATACAGTTAAATGGGCCCATATTTCCCTAATTCACGTAAGAGTTACTTGTTCAGTGTTTGAAATTTGATAATCTGCTTTAGCCTGATGTTTTCTTTACCTTCTATTTTATATGTATGTGTGCAAAGATTTAACTGTGAGATATGCTTATTTTTATTTGTTCTCTCTAAGTATATAAAGCATGAGAGTTTTAACCATATGTCAAAAATAAAAGAAGGTGATAAGATGATTTAAAGTCTTTTGGAATCTATATACCTATATCATCTATATCTATATCTATATCTGTATCTATCTGTCTCTATCTCTATATGTCTATCAGTCTATCCACACACATATATATGCATTAATGGCCTGGAGGTCTTTGTATACACTAGTGCTTCTGAACCCTGGCTGCACTAATGCCAGGAGAGCTCTACCCCCAGGGCTCAGCCCTGGACTCCAGATCTATTAAATCTGAAAACCTGGGTGTGGGATCCGACATCAGTGTTTTTAAAATGCTTCCCTCTGATCCCTGCGTTGTCACTAAAGTTGAAAAACACTGGAGGCAGATGGGATAAAGGCTATTATTTAACCTGGGAGTTGACGTTGATTTTAAAACTATACCTGACCTATAATGAATGTCAAATATTGCAATGTGGGTGCTCTTAAGAGGTTATAAAGATTACAATCAGTGTTGACAGAGTTAACTATAGGCCTTGGGCAATTTATTTAACTCTCCAGGCTTTTTTTCTGCCAGTGTGTAAAATAAGGGGACTGGGATGGATGACAGGCAATGTGAAAAGACAGTTCACTTGGGCTCTCATCCATTCATGCCATCTTACTAACTGCTTGTCTTGGGAGAATTAACAACTCTTTTGAGGCCTGTTTCTTCCTCTGTTAAATGGCAAAATAGCACAAGAGCCCACATTTTTAAGGTTGTTAAGTGATTAAAATATGTTGTTTTTGTTATGTATCATGGACTTAGGTCTGATCCATAGTTGACCTTCCAGTAGGTTTTCAAAGGCAGTAAATCACAGGAGAAGAAATTACCCATCTTTCTCTCAACAGAGTAGCTGGTAGATTCAAACTGTGTGCCTTGGGTTGGCCGTGTAGGTTCTTACCATTAGACTACCAGAGCTCCCTCCCTGAAAATTGTATAGGGTAAAAAAAATACTTAGTGTAAATTTTAGAAAATAGAATACTTAATAATTTTTAGTAGCATTATCAGAAAATCTTCCTAAATCCTTCCATCTCTAAAATATCCCAATAGATATTGTTTTAAGAAGCAAATAATAGCAGTGTCTGCATGGCAAGATTATGTGCAATTCTAACACCTTTCAAATTTCCTTTTATTACCATAATTTACACAAAAAAGTAAAATAAATCCATAAATATCATTATCAAGAGTTGTTATTGTCGTCGTTATGTGCCATTAAGCCTATGTACAACAGCTCTGAAGCTCTTCCTGTCCTGAGCCAGTCTCAATGACTCCAATACACTTACCGCCTTTGCCCCATTTACTGTATCAGTCCATCTCATCGGGGTCTTCCTCTCCTGCACTGTCCCTGCACCTTTCTGAGCAAGATGTCCTTCTCCAAGGATTGGTCCCTCCTAGGCACATGCCCAAAGTATGTGCCTTTGAAAGTATGTCTTTGAAAACCTGCTGGAGGGTCAGCTGCTCTGAGTCAGTTCCAACTTAGTGGCGCACAACAAATCTCTCTCTCTCTCTCTCTCTCTCTCTCTATATATAT